GCAGACAAGATTAAGCCCAGGTACTCAAGGTATGAAAACAACACAGCAGAATGGTTAAAAGAATGAATTCTGGAGCCCAAATTCAAGCCCTGGCCCTTGCTTAACTAGCTATATGACCTTGAGCAAGTTACCTAACTTCTCTGGGAAACAGAGAGGGAGCCACCCCACTCTGGGGAACCACCCTCCCCCTCTGCCATCTTCCGATGCAGGGACTGCCTGGGTGTGATCTTCCCCCTGGTGGTGGCTAGTGTAAGGCTGGCCCTTCTTTTTGTTTCCTCTAGGCCTATTAGGCAAGAGTCAAGAACAGTCCCTGGCTGGCCCTGTGGTGACTCAGGGTTCTTTAGAAGCAGGGGTTTTTCAGAGATGCCAAGTCTAGGGCCTAAAAGGCAGTGGGGATGGTTAAGCTGTGGGTACCATGGAGTCCATGCATCTGCCAGTGTTGGCTGGTTCACAAACACTGTTGGGGCAGTATGCCTGGCCTGGATGAGACACAGGGATATGGGTGGAAGACATGTGCCCCTGCCCTCTGGATACACAGCACAGGGACAGAGATAAGTTCTCTGAACTTGATGTGATGGGCCTGTGCCCTGGGCAGTGGGCAGGCATTGCACTGGTGGGCAGAGACCAGGAAGAGGGGCCAGAAAGTCTTCATGGAAGATGTGACATGAGCTGAATGTTAGCAAAGGAGTTGCTGGGGTGAAAGGCAGGGTGTTCTGGGAGAAAAGGCTGCTAGAGCCAAAGCAGGAAGACCCAGAATCATCTGGAAGTTTATATTTCTTAAGCCCTTCCCACAGGGAAGGTGCTGAGATAATTATTCATGCACATGATCTCATTTGAGCCTCAGAGCAAGCATTTGGCATTATTATGCCCATTTAACAGATTGTAACTCAGAGGAAAAATGCCCCACCTTGAGGTCACACATGTGGCAAGCAGCAGAGTCAGGACTCAACCCCTGGCTTGTCTGACTTCAGGTCTCTACCTAATCTGTCTGTGTTAAGCCAATTAGAGCCTTCAGAGCAGTTCAGTTTGATACCAATATCGACTTCTAGGTTGAGGGACAAAGGGAGGGTGGGGGAACATCAGATCTTCCCATTTAGGACATACAGGTTGTATCATAGGAATAGGGAACCAATGAGGAGTTAAAAGGGAAGTGACATGATTTGAATTTGTACTTTAGGAAGATCACTATGGCAACCATGGGGAGAAGAGACAGAGACAGAGGATCAGAAAAGGTTTCAGTGGCCCAGACCGTGCCTTCTGGTGGCTTGCTTAAACCAGGGCAGTAGGGGAAGTAGAGGAATCAGAGAAAAATAAACCAAGTGACTGATTGGATGTGGGGTGGGTATCAGGGTTGGAGAAGCAGAGAGAGCTTAATGGTCTAGTTTAGGCAACAGGGTGGAAGGTGCTGACTCTCCCAACAAAGGGAACATAAAGGAGAAGTAGATCTGCAAAGTGGGGCTAGTGAATCTGCAGCTCTGGAAAGGGGCCTAGGTTGAAGACAGAGTACCCAGGGAGCCAGCCATGGACAGGGCCAGGGAGCTGGTTCAGCTGCCTGAAGCACAGGCCCAAAGAGCTGGGTTGAGAAACCCTAGCTGTAGACCTTGACCTGACCCAGGCCAGCAGGCTCCCATGATCGAGCTGGTTACCTTTGTGGGCCGTCAGGGCTCCCTATAGGCAGAAGCCATCTGAAGAGCCGGCTATAGATCATGAATTGTCCCTCTTACAGAAGACATTCAGTCGCCTCCCCAACACCCAGGCCACCCCTGGTAGCCTGAGTGAGCCACTTTGGCCTCAGAAATAATCCTAAGAGAGGAAAGCTGAGAGCCAGTGGCTGAGGGACACTGCCAGCATGCCAGGGGGCCGACCTCCGCGGGCAGCGGGAATCACAGGCCGTCCCAGATGGGGCCTGGAACACAAAAGATGTGTTACAGCTCACCGGAGACCTCTCCCACTTCTGCACCTCACAGGGAAGGCCATGGTGGCCATGCTAAGAAGATGAGCTGTTGGTGGCTGATGCTTAATGTTTGCTGAGGAATAGGCACTATTCTGAGTACTGCACAATCCAGCCACACAAAAAATTACAAGTGAGGAACTGAGGCCCAGAGCTAAAAAGCAGCAGGCCTGGGATTAATCCCAAGACCTGCTGGCCCCATGGCTGTAGTTCAAGCACTGCACTCTACTGCCTTTGGGGTTACCCTCAGGGGCCTGACGGCGAGACAACCAGCGTAGTGCCTCACACAGAATAGCATCTCTAAAAGGTGGTGGAGGGTCCCTCTGTTCAGCCATGCCTTAGCATAGTCTCTCTTGGCCAAGATTTACAGCACAGTGGGATGAACATATGGCAGCTAACTCAGGATAGGAGCCAAGGCCCAGGCCTCCATGCAGGCGTTCCTTGGAGGCAGTGGGAGTTACTCTCAGAAGGCTTCCCACAGGGGGTAAGTAGGGGGCTGAAATGAATTACACCTCAGGGGAAGTCCTCAGACACGATGCACACTGGCACAATCATGAGAGCAGCACCAACAAGTGAAAAGCAGTGAACTCTTCCACACTAATCAGGCTTTTTGCTTTTCCAAGGATGTACTCATATTCTCCTCTTTGATTCTAACAAATGAATTTTAATACACACTAACAATGACTGTTACTTTTCTTTCTTCTTTCCTTCCTTCTTCTCTTTCTTTAAACACTATGAGGCAAAGGGAATGGTGGTGGTGGGGAGAAATGCCATTCTTCCTATTTTACAAGTAAACTGCAGCACAGAAAGGTCAAGCAAGTGATCTTGGGCCACACAGCTCTGCATACTAAGACTAAAGCCCAGACTACAACCATGGTCAAATGCTCTACCTAGTAACATCCTTTGCCAGGGTGATGGATGTTTAGCCCTGGGCCCTGCAGATGTGAGAAGCATCAGTAGAGCTGTTCCAGAAAAGGGCACAGAGTGGAACAGTGATTTGTGGAGTCAGATGCTCTTGAATTCCATTCCAGCCTCACCACTTACAAGCTAAATTATCCTGGACAGCGACTTGCCCTCTCTGAGCTTCAGTGTCTTCATCCATAAATTAGAGATAATGGCATCTTTCCTACTGGGCTCAAATTACATGCTTCCCTGCCTGCTTCCTCTGGGCTAGAGGGGCTGTGCTACCACAGTGAGCCAGTAGGGTGAGCGGGGAGCATCAGCAGAGTGGGGGGCATGCCAGGAGAGCTGGTGCTCTGGGAGTGACACCAAGAAGGGAGCTTATGGAGCCTTCTATGTTCTCAAATTGTGAGAACAACTAAGAGTCCCTCTCTTCTGTACCTGCAGTGTCTCAGTGAGGGTGGCATGGGCATGGGCCTGGGCAAGGACACACTGTCATAAATCCACTTTTCAATGGCCATAGTCATGGACTGCAGGAACCAACAACTTGGCTGTATTGAGCAGGGGCAGGTCACTCACGGGGCAGTCGCCAGTCCTTCCTTCTGTTGAAGGCAATGCATAGGCCCCAAGCAGGAAACTGGACTGAAGGGGAAGGAACTGGTGTTGGTGGGGGAGGAGCTGGCCTGCTTCAAGAAAGGTATCATGGGGCACTCTAGCTGTTCTTTGGTAGCCAAAAGCAGAAGTGGTGAACACTGTAGTGAGCTATCCATGAGTGATTAAGCTAGCAGGGTGTCTACTCTTTATAACTCATTTCATCCTTACCCCCTTGTTAAAGTAGTCTTGCTATCCCACATGACAAATGAGTAAATGGAAGCTCAAAGAGTTTCAATGACTTTCAAGTTCGTACAGCCAGCAAGAGTCAGAGCTAGGAAATGGGTCTGTGTTCTTTCTCTCACACAGCACTGCCAAGCCAAGAGCCAACGTGGGTGGAAGCCACACCCTGTGCCCCTGCACAACAGTCTCATGTTTCTTTTTTGTTCTCCTTTCCTTCTTTGGTGAATTTGTTTTTAGTTGTTCACACTTAGACCAGGCTTTAAAGGGGGGTCAGAGGACGACATACTCCTGAGGCCCATCAGGCAGAACAGGGGCCAGAGGAAGATCCTACAGAGGGCAGTGACATTCAAGGCTGCTCCTTCCACCTGAGGAGTCTGGTGTGGGGGGTAGGGGTGAAGGTCCTAGAATCAGAGTCCTGATTCAAGTCCCGGAGTCACCACTTGGTGCCTGTGGGCAGGCTGTTTCACCTCTCTGCCTCGGTTTCCTTCTCCCTGAAATGGTACTGATGTAGAAACTACCTCACAGAGCTGAAAGTCCCACTGGGCCAGAGGTGCTTAGCACACTGTCTGGCACAAGGTAAGCATGTGTCACCAATTAGCATGATTACTAATTCTCCCTCAGAGTTTTTCTCTGTCCACAGCTTTTGTTTTTACAAAGGAGGGCAAACAAATGTATAGACATGATCGAATGGATAAGACTGTTGTGCTTGAATTGACATGAGGACCCTATGTGGCAAGAAGGAGAGAGATTCCCTGTGATGCTAGTCAGGCGAGGCTTCCAGAAGGAATGTGGAGTAGGGCTCTGGGGGACAGTTTGGCAAAGGAGGTGGGAATGACTGAGAGCTCAGGGAAGGTGAGGGTAGGACAAGCTGGGAAGTAGAGAGCGTGGACAACAGAACCTAGTGATTGAGCACTTAAAGAAATAGGCAAGCAGTCAGCAGGAGGCTGGGAGTTACTAGGGGAGTTTCTTAGGGAAGTGGTGTGGAGAAACCAGCATTTGTGGAGAATGTGCTGGGGACTAAACTCTTTACCTAAACAATTTAACCTCACAATGGCCTATGAAGTATCCTCATTTTGTAGGCGAGGCTACTGAGGTCCAGAGATGGGGATTAATTTGCCTAGTATCTGACAGGGATTTAAGTCCCAGCCTGGCTGCTTCCAAAATACCCAGGCCATACTCAGGAGGGGACATTGGAGGGCCCAACTTCTAGGGCACTAAATCAAACCAGCACTTCGCTAGCTGCCCCTCCAGACCACATGTGGAGCCTGGGTAGGCCCCCATCCGTAAACCATGCCTACCTGATGAAATGCCAGAATGGCACAGAGCTGGACCTTGTGGACTCTCAGAGCTTCCACCGAAAGCTGCAGGTCTATTGAGGAAGGCTCACTGAGCAAGGGGGGCCCAGCAGCGTGCTCCCCAGCCCCACCCCAAGAGCCCCTCTGCATCCGGGGCTCGCTGTCTGTGGCAGCCTGGGCTTGAGAAACCACTGTTTGGAACAATGATTCTGACAGGAATCTGGAGATCAGAACTCACAGGGGCTTGGGGCTGTCATGTAGCTCCTAGAGCTACCAGGACCCTCTCAAATCCACCAGCTGAGCAGAAGGCAGGCTGGGCTTCCCAAACACATTCTTACACAAGCAAAGGGCAAACTCCTCCATGCAGGCCAGTGTGCCCTGAGCTGCAGTCCCAATCCCAGAGCCCTGTGGGCCAGCTGGCTTTGTAAGGACTGGAGAAAGCCCCTGTTGTGTGAGTAGCTGGCCCTTCCCTAGGGCCCGACGCTTATACCCCAGTCTTCCCTGCCCAGGTCCTGAGGGGACGGAGTACAGACGGCCAGCTCTGCAGTTCTGTCTGCTCCAGTGGCCGGTCCTCCCCGGTGGGGACTAACGCAGCAGCGGAGTTTCTGCCACACTGTGGCCCGCACCTGCTGCACTCCCCTACGAAGCCAAAGAGTTAGCTTGGTAAGAGGGAGGTGAGGACACAGAGCTGGGAAAGGGGACCCATCGGTGAAGAAGGCAACGAGCGGGAGCGGGTCTGCAGATTCTGTCTGGCAGTATGGTAATAACAGCAACACATGTCCCGTGGGGCTGGATCCCACTTCGGGCCTGGGATAGCTGCCACAGATTTCCTCCTTGACTACTTTGTCTGCTGGGGAAGCCTCTCGTAACCGCTCCTCAACTTCTGCCTCCTCCCGTCCTTTCCCAGGCCGGGCAGCACCCAGCTGAGCTCTCCACGAGGTTCTGGTTAGTAAGCTGGGCTCTGCCAAGGAATGGGGTGTTCTCCTTGTGGGGTGGGGGCCGAGGCCTGGGAGCCCAACGAAGCTGCCAGATCGGTGGTGGCGGCGGGTGGCTCTCCTCGGTAGCTCTGCCTGGCCGGCCCCTTTAAGTCAAGTTCGCTGCCGGGCCAGGTGCGGCGCTGCGTGGCGCGGTGCGGCTGCGGGCGGCAGCCGGGCGCTCCTTACGCGCCGCCCGCGGGACTGCAGAGCCGGCTCCCGGTGGCCGCCCGCACTCCGCGGCCGCCTCCCTGCGCCACCGCGGTTCCGCCGGCGCTTGTGGTCACCCAGAAACATGGAGGCTCCGGGTGCCCATCAGGAAGGGTAAGTCGGTGTCGGGGCATTGGGCTGCGTGTGCTGCTCCCCCAGTCCCGGCTGCGGCGCTCAGAGGGGCTGCGGGGCACCGGGCGACTGAGCCTGCAGCGCCGCAGGCTCGGGCTGACTGCCAGGCGGGCGAGCCTGTGCAGACCACCGATGCCCGCCCAAGCCAGGGCGGGCGAGGGGGTCTGGCGCCTTGGGAAAGAAGAGGGCACGGAATGGCCTCGGGGACCCTTCTGGGCTGTGCGTGGCGTGGAGCAGAGGGCGCAGAGAGGAGCAGGCGGGTGCTGGGAAGTGCAGCTGACAGCATAACCATGTCTGGTAAAGAGCGCCGGTTGGTAGGACCAGAATCACTTGGAACTGCCGGGCTGCATTCCTCTCTCCCGCTCCGAATACTAAAGGGTTTGCGGCAGAGAAGGGCTTTTCCGCTTCGCTCGGGCCGTGGGTGGCCGCCGCGCCCCCGCGCTCGGTTGGAAGCTGAGATCTGGGGCAGCAGCCTACGCCGCACCCGCAGAGTTCAGGCTCCAGTATTTTCGGGTTGAGATGGAGCCTCGGTGGTGGCTCGGCTGCACCCCAGAGGCAAAAGAGCTGGGCTGCGCCAGGGCCCACAGCAGCCGGGTAGGGGAGGGTTAAGGTGGCGCTCGCCGCCACTGCCAGCTGGTGGGTCTAGTCCTTCAGCGCGGAGCGCGCGGAGCGGAATCCCGGCCGGAACCCCGGGCGATGGGAGAGGGCCCAGACCCTTCCCCGCCCAGGGGCAGACGGATTGGGCCGGCAGGGGGCCAGCCCGGAAGCCGGCTTCCTCCAGGCTTCCCCTCTCGCTGCTGCCAAGCTGCTTCGCTGGCTGAGCGTTCGTTCTGCGCTCCCTGCTCAGGAAATGTGAGAGATTTTCTTTGGGGGAGAAATCGTTGGTCGAGCACCTGCCCAGTTCAGATGCCACCCCGCTCATAGGGAAGCCTGCAGCCTAGGGATCCCCGAGGAAGAGTAAGTCGCAGGACCAAACCAGCCAGCTTTTGTAGAGTCGACCTTTCTGTGTGAGGAGTCTCTGTAGATGAGCTCTGAAGGAGTGTGTGTTGGGAGAAGGAGGGCAGGAGGAGTGGAGGGTGCTGTTCCTCCTCCAGGGCCCTGCCGAGGTCAGAGCTTGTGGTCAGGCTGGTGTCTGAAGCCCTCCCCTTGGGAAATGCTGTGTCCTGATCTGGGGGTGGGAGGGCCTTACCTAGCATCCCTCCTGATAGCTACTGAGGACCAAGCTACTTCTCCCAAGGCCCCTGGAGAAGACAGGTCCAGCCAAGCCTGAAGGCTTTTTCCCTGGGAGAAACTGCTCCCAGCTGATGGAAGCCTGCCCAGAAGAGGCCGGGAGGCTGAGGGGTAGTTCTCAGGTGTGGCACGGCAACAGTAGGTGGGCGTGGAAGGAAGGCTTGCCAGAGTCCTCTGAAGCCCGGGCACCAGCTAACTCAAAGTCCTGCTTCCACCTTGCTTCTGTTTTTTTCCAGGCAACGTCACACCTCCTGAGGACAGCCAGGAGGACTCTGGCTTTTGATGAGCTTTTCATCTTGCCTCCTTCCTTCCAAAGACTCCAGACTGAAGCTCAGCTGTCCTCAAGTCCTGCGTGCCCCTGGCCAGGCACACCACTGCCCCTCCAGCCCAGCCCAGCCCTGGAGCTCACCTCCAGGACCTGGAGCCTGCCCGCCTGCCCAGAATGACTCACCATTATTTCTAGCTTGAGTGAGAAGATGTGATGGGGAATCAGGCTGCCTGTTTGTATATCTAGGATTCCTGAAGCATCTGATCAGCTCTGCAAGAGAGCTTCAGATTCCTGCGTTGCCAGGTAATTCAATCCATTATTTAATAACAGCCATGTATGCAGTCATTGGGGAGGGGGCAGTGAAGGAGAACCAAGGCTAAGATCTGTCACTGTGATTACCTCCCAAGGTGCAGGCATCTGCAAGACATTAGTTCAGTGCCTGATGGAGGACTCCCTTCCAGCCTCTAATGTGGGGTTGAGTTCCTCTGAGGTATAGAGGGGCCTGTAGCAGCCACCTCCCCCCAGTGAGGGGCAATACCAAGCTTTCTTGAGAGACTGCCACCTGCTCCCCTCTGTCCCCTAGCCAGCTTACCAGGTGAAAGTAAAGTTTGCATTTTTGGTGGTGGTGGTCATGTTTCTAAACTCTTGGTTAAGATATGGTAGACAATAAATTGCAACCCAGGTCAGACTGCCAGTGCAGAGTAATCTCATGCCCTTAACTGACTGCCTCTGTCTTTCAGCCAAGCGAGGCTGTGTCTCGGGCTCTCAGAGAGCCCTCTGGGGCTCTCTTGCAGGAGCCCAGGCCAATGCTTCTCTGTCTCCTGGGGCCGTAAGCAGCACCTAAGCTCCTTGCCACCAGGCAGCTGGAAGGTGTAGCGGGAGGCACTTCTCTCAATCCCAATTATGACAGTGGCCACTGGAGACCCAGCAGATGAGGCTGCTGCCCTCCCTGGGCACCCACAGGACACCTATGACCCAGAGGCAGACCACGAGTGCTGTGAGCGGGTGGTGATCAACATCTCGGGGCTGCGGTTTGAGACTCAGCTAAAGACTTTAGCCCAGTTTCCAGAGACCCTCTTAGGGGACCCAAAGAAGCGGATGAGGTATTTTGATCCCCTCCGAAATGAGTACTTTTTCGATCGGAACCGCCCTAGCTTTGATGCCATTTTGTACTACTACCAGTCTGGGGGCAGGTTGAGGCGTCCTGTGAATGTGCCCTTAGATATATTCTCTGAAGAAATTCGGTTTTATGAGTTGGGAGAAGAAGCAATGGAGATGTTTCGGGAGGATGAAGGCTACATCAAGGAAGAAGAGCGTCCTCTGCCTGAAAATGAGTTTCAGAGACAGGTGTGGCTTCTCTTTGAATACCCAGAGAGCTCAGGGCCTGCCAGGATTATAGCTATTGTTTCTGTCATGGTGATCTTGATCTCCATCGTCAGCTTCTGCCTGGAAACACTGCCCATATTCCGGGATGAGAACGAAGACATGCATGGTGGTGGAGTGACCTTCCACACCTATTCCAACAGCACCATCGGGTACCAGCAGTCGACTTCCTTCACAGACCCTTTCTTCATTGTAGAGACCCTCTGCATCATCTGGTTCTCCTTTGAATTCCTGGTGAGGTTCTTTGCCTGTCCCAGCAAAGCTGGCTTCTTCACCAACATCATGAACATCATTGACATTGTGGCCATCATCCCCTACTTCATCACCCTGGGAACAGAGCTGGCTGAGAAGCCAGAAGATGCTCAGCAGGGCCAGCAGGCCATGTCGCTGGCCATCCTCCGTGTCATCCGGTTGGTAAGAGTCTTCAGGATTTTCAAGTTGTCCAGACACTCCAAAGGTCTCCAGATCTTAGGCCAGACCCTCAAAGCCAGTATGAGAGAGTTGGGCCTCCTGATATTCTTCCTTTTCATCGGGGTCATCCTTTTCTCTAGTGCTGTCTATTTTGCAGAAGCCGATGAGCGAGAGTCCCAGTTCCCCAGCATCCCGGACGCCTTCTGGTGGGCAGTGGTCTCCATGACAACTGTAGGCTATGGAGACATGGTTCCAACTACCATTGGGGGAAAGATCGTGGGTTCCCTATGTGCAATTGCAGGCGTGTTAACCATTGCCTTACCGGTGCCTGTCATAGTGTCTAATTTCAACTACTTCTACCACCGGGAGACAGAGGGAGAGGAGCAGGCCCAGTACTTGCAAGTGACAAGCTGTCCAAAGATCCCATCCTCTCCTGACCTAAAGAAAAGTAGAAGTGCCTCAACCATTAGTAAGTCTGATTACATGGAGATCCAGGAGGGGGTAAACAACAGTAACGATGATTTTAGAGAGGACAACTTGAAAACAGCCAACTGCACTTTGGCTAATACAAACTATGTGAATATTACCAAAATGTTAACTGATGTCTGATTGAAACCTATTAACATACAGCCCAATGGAACTAATGCAGATATTGCATAACAGTCTGCACTGTAGTCAGTTTGCTCCACAGTGTGTATCTGGTTCTGCATGGAAAGCAGTAGTCATACAAGTGACTTTTGATCTTCTGATTTTTTATTTAGAACACAGAATATCTATCCGTGGCTTTCATGCAAATCTTCATCACTGGCTTAGGGGTTTCCAAAGATGGGAGTCACCTATGGAGCCAGGATTTCATGAAGACACATTGAGGCCACTTCATATCAAATATATAATCCACCACATTGGTACCACCTTACCTTCTGAACTAAATGCACACAGTGTCTGGGAGATGCAACCCATACCATCATCCCATTTGAGCCCACCTGCCCTTCACAGAGGGAGACCATGGTGGCTTAGATTTAAAGCTCTGGTAATTATTTAAAAGGTCATTCCCATTTTTGCGTTGAAAAGAACACATAGTCCTGTATGTTGGAATTACTTTCTGTGTCACAGGCTGGGGTTTGTGAATTGCAGTCACCAAGTAGATGCTCTGGAGGCTTGTGTTTCATAATGGAAAATGCTGCATTTGGTTTTTTCTCTGCAGTGTCGATGTGAGGGAACCCTGGGGGAGGGACAGTTCCTATGACCAAATGTGGGTTGTCAAGTTTCACATTTGCTCTCTTAGGCCTGATGGGAGAAGCTATCAAACCAAGGGACCTCTCAGCTTCAGATTTCACCATTTTCACAGGCTTCAGGGTCACAAAAACATGACTGATTTCTTCGTGACACTGAAGTTTGCAGAGAGAGCTGCTTTCCTAGTGCTGTGGCCCAGCTACACTGACACTGCAGTGAAACTTACCAGCGATGCAATAGAGCTGCATGGGTGTTTGTTGCATGAATCTCAATATTTAAAACACAAGAGATAGCCTATTTTCTAAGTAGCCTACACAGTATTCATATTTAGAGTATTAATAGCCTAGGAATGGCAGTGAACTAAGGATTTATCCCCCCAGCGGAAGACAGGAGAAAAAAATAGACTATTTGGAATGGGGAACCAAACTGCTGGCCCTCCAGTCCACCCCATCCCTGTTCTTCCAAATTGGGGCACAGACCTCTGCAAGTCAGGAGAGCGAGCAGGGGAAGCAGTGTCTAAACACCTCACATGGCTGCACCTTAAGAATTAACCTGGTCATGGGCATGACTGCACAGCTGACCAGGGCATCTGGTCCTGAGGACAGGCAGATCTGTGGATCCAGTGTATATAAATATATATCAAGTATATCTTTCACAAGTTCCTCTACCTTGCTAGCTATAGAAAAAAATGCATTTGAACCTTGTAAAAGCTTATGCAATATTTTTGACACAGGGCAATTTATGCATGTGTTTAACTACGTGCACTAGAGTATGTGTGTGTGTGTGTGTGTGTGTGTATTTATATGTATAAATACACACACACACACACATATATATACATTCATTCTCTGGAGTTCAGGTTCAGGAGCAAATCTACTGCTTGGTGGGTTGGTGGTCTAAGAAGCCTAATGGGTTTAATTGATCTCATTGGTAACCCCACTGGGCCTGGGTTTGCTGCTATTGTCTCAGACACTCCAGTCTTCATGGATTCGTAGACATTAGAATTGTCTTTCTGCCCTCCATGTGCTGCAGCTTCAGTTTCCCGTGGCTGAAGTTTGTCTTACTGAGTGCACAAGAGTCCTATGGCCCTCATAGCTCCAGCTGTCCTGGGCTGGGCCCACCCCAGGCCTCCTCTATACAGTCCATCATGTCAGTCATCACCATTCTCATCTTTCCCCACTCTATTTGGTATTCATTGTCATTTGGCTCTGCATCAGTCACTTTCACAAACCATTCCCTAAAGAGCCAGAATGGATCACCTGCTTTGAAACCAAGGATACCAAGGAGGAGGGCTTCCGGGGACCCAATTCCACAGGTCTGGATTTAAAGTGAGCCTCCTCTAAATAGAGTCCAGGACTAAGGGGTGGAACCCCTAGATTATCCACAGGCATCATTTCGATTGCCAAAGCTCAAACTCTCTCCCCATGAAACTGGCAAGCAGAGCTGCTCAGACAAACCAAAGGATGGGTAAAGAATCGTTCTCCACCCCCAGAACATGTTCTGAGAGATGAGTGCTGTGCAGCCTAAAGGTAGAGTTCGGGCTGGCCCTGGAATGGGTTGAGGTGGGGAAGCTTTTGCACCACCTACTGGGCTTCCATGCCTTTCAACACAATCGCTGTAACTTCCCAGTGGATTGTGTGGCTGGCTAGGCTCTGGCCCTAGCACCTGCAGTTACCTTGGGGGTGGGGCACCAGCTCAGGGGGCTAGGCCCAGGGTGCTCATTAGTCTCTGGTCCCCCACATCCCCAGGTGTCTGCAGGGTATCCCATGCCCAGTGCAAAGCCTCCGTGCTTCTCTCCCTCTCCTTTGTGGGAGATGCTGCTGCATATTCAAAACATGGGGTGGGAAAGAGGCAGACCTTAGGAAAAACAGATGGTAAAACAAAACCCATACCTAAGCTGTAGGTCAGGGAGTAGGTTTTTTGTCCCAGGGCCCTTGACCCTGGGACTATAAAATGTTCACACACACAAGTGCACAGGGCACAAGTGCATGACACACCCACTGGGAAACAGATAGATTGTTGCCAGCACAAACCAAAACATGCAACACACATGCAAAATACCCAGAAAGCAAATAAATACAAAAAGGAAACATGGAAGCTACATGGTTACACCTTTATCCAAAATATGTACAACCTGCAGCTCAGATGCAAAATAGGTAAAAGCTACAAGAACACAATGGGTATGCATATGAAAAACACAAAGGACACCTTACTGTTGTTTCTACATACAAAATACAAATTCAGTTTATTCTCAGAACATTTTCTCATAGGAGAGACACAAAATTCAGCACACACGCCCAAAAACATAATGCTCCTAAAGTGAGTACATAGCCCCAGATCCATCGCTCTGCTCACCTATCAAGTAATAGACATAAACAAAAGATCAGATTTATTCAACTTTCCCTATCCTTCATCTATACACCCTCAGTTTCTTCAAGAATTCCCTTCCTCTAGTCTCTCCCTCTCACCTCCAAATTTCAGAGAAGTAACCCCTGAAGCTTAAAGCAGAAAGATGGGCTACTATTGTCAAACAATGTCTTATTAAGACTGGGAATCCCGTGGGGTTTTCTATGTTCACTTTCCTCCCACCAGAAACCCAGATGCAGTGTGTGGAAGGACCTGGAGTAGCTAGTAGCCTATTAACATACACTTCCTTGCCATGGCCTTTCCTTCACAGCAAGTCCACACACACAACCCAGTAGCCCAGGTTCCCTGCTTCCACTCCCTCAGGTCACTGGATTCAGCCCCATTCTCTTGAAAGCAGTGATGGGCTCAAGAAACTGCAGGGTCCTGGGCCCAGAACCAGAGTGACGATGCCCTCAACATTCTCTCAGTCTACAGACTTTATTGCCCCTCTATCCCCAGTAGCTTAGTCAGGGTGGGTCAGGAAGTTGAGACCATGTATAGACTTGTCCCTTAAAAAGAGCCACCTTTACTTGCTTGTGTCACCTCACTTGCTTCTAGGCATAAGCCCAGTGGGGTCAACTCCCGAGTGCCCTCTCTGGATGTTCACTCCCACCCATACTGCCCCACCTTGCCGGGGCTCCACCTGGATGCCCTGCCTCGCATCTAGTTGCTGTGCCTGGAGGACACGCACACCAATTCAGCTTAAATAAAACATGGTTAAGGACATAAACCTAATGCTAAACAAGCAACCATTTTTTTAGAAGGTCTGATTTTTATCTTATATTCTGAGGCCAGATTTAGATGCCTCTGTTTTAGATTGCCCATGACACTGGCTCTTCCCACTAGTAAGACCAGCTGAGGGCTGGGTGTGTTGTAGCAAAGGCTTCAACCCAAATGCAAGTTGGGAGCTGAAGTCAGATGTGGCTCAGGCATCTCAGGTATCTGCTGCAGCTCTCCTGCTGTGCCCCACCCTTCCCTCCTAATGCTCGCTCGTCACAGCCTCGGATCTCCCTGGAGGAGGCAGCAACAGCGGGTGATGATGGATGGGTAGGTCCAAATTTGCACATTCAGCACCACATGCTGGGTCTTTCCAGTGTTTCCAAGTTAAGACACCAATTTTCCCTTTAGCTTCAGCAGGTGCTTCCATGGGCTCAAACTTTCAAGGAAGTTGGAGTTTTCAGGCTTCAAGAAAACAAGAGCCAGGAAAGGTAGGGAGATTGTCAGGAAGAGAGGGTAACTGAGCTGGTCAAATGTCAGTCAACTTTTCAGGAGCTGAAATTTGGTTAGACATAATTCAGGCTCTGTGTTTCCTGAAGGTTCTGTGGTGTTTGACACACTCTCTTCTTTCCTCTCTGCTTCTTTCTGTCCCTCTCAGCTGGGCTTCTGAGGATGGAGTGGGGATGTCACCAGGAAGTGCCCCGCCGGGGTGCTCATGTGGCTGCTCTGTGTGGGGAGGGCTGCTGGACTAACTTGTCCTATCTGCTCTGCCTGGGTCTCTCACTCCACTGTGGTGAGGTCTTGGGCCAACTTACTTCCTCATGGTCAGTCATATGGCATCAGTGTCAACCCAGGATGAGAGAGGACAGTGCCTGTGGAAGTCTCAGGCTGGGGTTCAGCACTGCCCCCAGCAGTGGAGAAAAGAGGTAGAGGCTAACTTTCCCCAAAGGAAACTACAGGACAGTTTGCAAATTGCATATGAAGGTGAAGGTGGCACCATATCCCCCATGATAGGCAGGAGGAGCACAGAGCTTTGAATTGTTCATCCAGCAGCGGGAGTGATGAGCCCTGCCCCAGCCCTGGCTCTCCTGGAGCCCATTGTCATGCCAGCCTCCATCTGGGTGCTGGCTGCTGGTTTGAGAGGGCTGGTCCACACAGGCTGGACTGTCCAGGGTGCTCCTTGGTTATAAAGTGGAGATTCCCCTAGCCTTGGCAAAGTTTCCATTGCCAGGTTTGAATTGACGACCTTAACCTTATTAACATCATTAGCCACCTGAGCCAACTAGCAGGGTGCTGGATGCTGGGAGGTATTCAAATGGCCAGCATGGCCACCATCCATATTCTCAGGTTTGGCCCCTTGTGGAGACCAGCCCAGTTCCTCATTAATGCAGGAAGCAGGGACCGATCAAGGTAAGGGATCCCCTATAGCTGGGATGGGTCTCTTCCCCAAACTAATCTAGTTCACTTTTCCCTTCTTTCTGCTTCCCTTCCCACCAAAAATCAGCTCCATCTCTCATAGTTTATGTTTGAATATTTTAAAGAGGCAAAGTGCAATAAAATAAATAGTGACTGTTTTCTTTAGCAATAGTTATTTCAAAATCTTGCTCTCAGGACTGAAAAATGATAGTACCTGGATTATCAGATAATGCCCTTAGCTTCTGGGCATTAGTTCACTTTCTCCCTATTTCCCTCTTTCTCCCACGTGTTCACATGTCTCCTGTCCTGAGGCTCTGACACTGCTTTGGAATGTAAACATAGGCAGAGTTGCAATGGATGCACAAGGAAGGTCCACGAGAGGCTTTCTTTGTCATTCTTCCTGCTGCACCTCTCTCTGCCCTCGGGACATCTCTGTCCTCTCTCTCTCTCTCCTGCCTCCCCATCTCTGCCTGCTCTCACAAAGCATTCTTACAACCTCTAGGTTCTGAAACCTTGGGTTTGAGTGACCTCGCACTAGTCCACCTCGGTGACTTTCAGTCAGTCCGGCAGGGTGTAATGGAAGCCTGCAGGAAAGCGCTTACCAATTGATAAGAATGAAGCATCCTGAGCCATTACAGATCATTTCCATGCACTAAAAGCCATTACTTGATCCATTTGTTTCCCTTCCTCCCCTCTGCAGGGAGATGGAGGAATGTGGCCTGGAGGTTTGCACCTGGGATGGGTAGCCTGGGCAGATTTGGGAAATTACCCTCTGGCCGTCCTTCAAAATAAGCTGACTTGCTTACCCAAAGGGACTCCAGGAGAATTAAAGAGGGAAGCAAGGTAATTGTGAGTAGAGGTCTACAAGGATAGATGTTTGGGTGGTTAGGGCATGACTTGAGTGAAACGAAGACCCCACCACCCACTACAGTGTGCACTTGCACAAATATTTGCACGCATAACTGGGGACTTCATTAGAGTCCCCTCTCTTGAAAAAAACCTGTGAGGTTAAATATTCAGACTGGACAATCAGGGAAGGCTGGCAACCCCAGGATCCCATTGCATTCCTTTTCAATCTACCTTGCTCTATACATGTGCTTACAGCAAAACCTCAGTTAACTGATGGGGAAATCCTCAGGGATGGGAGAATCTTGATTGCTTTACAATTATGATTATTTGAGTGGGAATGGAAAAATACATTTGGGTTCAACCTTTGTTACTGAAAAAAAAAACCCACATTTCCTAAGTAGGTTGGTATAAACTTTCCTGCCTTAGTAAGTAGAGTGAAGATGACAGGAGACCTTGTATTGCTCAGGGTCAACATTCTAAACGTCAGTGTTCATTGTTCAGAAGTGTAGATGGAAAAGACCAAAGAGATGGGCTGAATGTATGCTGCCTGCAAGACAGACCTGAACTTGGCTGTTTGGGCACATCCTGGCTCATCAGATAGTGCCCTTGCTGTCATTTGCCTCTTTCTATTGAAAGCATAGTAAGAAAACATAACTCTCGTTCATCAGAGATTTTGATTAATTGGTCCCAAGTTATCAGAGGCTTTTCATATATACATATATCAGTGTATATATATATGTATAGTATGTGTATATATGTATACCATTGTTTCAAAAATTACACAGTTATACAGTGACCAATCTCCTCAGCTTCACTAATGTGGAATAAATTTGGCAATCCAAGAAATAAACTGCATTTATTTGAATTTTTTAAATGACCTCCCTTTGCAGACTTACCATCTCTCCCATTCAGTTCTTTTTTTCTTCTGTGTAAGGACCTCTCTAGAAGGCAGTTCTTTTATAACGAAAGACCAGAACTCCCTGATCACCCCTTTCCTTTCCCTCCCTGGTGGCTGCCTGACTCAGGGATAGAAGGGAAGTGTGATCTAAGGGCCAGGTGCTTTGTACTTTGTTCCTTATGCCCTAGTTGACTGTAACCTCATCACTTGAGGATCAGCAAAGTTATTCCAAACTTTAGCTCTAAGGGAGTGGAAAGCTTGAAGACCTGGCAAAGGACTGATCTGTTTAGTTCTCTCTTTGCAATTGGTGGTGTCCTAGGTTTGAATTTTGTGAGATCTGAAAGTAATGCTTTTAATATAGAACTAAAGAACTTCAATGCCCCATGGAAGGTTAGACCTGTGGCAACTGATGGAACTAACAAACTCACCCTGTTGTTGGTCTTACTGAATCCAGGTTGTGGTTTGGGCCATAGAGCAGTTCTGATTCCATTGCTCCTTTGGAGAAGCAACGTGTCTGAGCCGATCCATGCTCTATTCTCCATCTTACATGGCAGTGTGTTAGACCCATGGGAGATAATGCCAGTCCACCTCCTGCATTTGACTATGTGCACTCTACCTGGATGGGGATGGGCGTATCTGGGGCAGTTGAGGTGGTACAGGAGTACCTGCCATTTCCCAACACTCCCAGAAGCCTCCTAATCTGGCCTAGCTGGCTGTGATCAGACAGTAGAAGCCTAACCTGCACTTAGCATGACCAGCTGATAAACTGGGGCAGTTGAGGCAGCTTGTCCGAATGGACACCTTTTACAGTGCATGAACCTCAGCATGGAAAGGGATATAACTGTGCTCCTCTGCACTCCTAAAATAGTCGGTTATGTTCCAGATGAGTTTGCAGCTAAGAACTTCCTGCATCATTCCACTGACAGATGCACAGGGCAGGTGTGTTTACATAATAATGTGGACAGCTGCTGCAACATCTAGATAACTGAGGGCAGTGTAAATGTGGCTGTATGCTAGGACCTTTGGTAGCTTCCCAGAGGACTCAGTCCTGTGTCTCTTCTTGGTCCTCATGAGAGGCCTCTAAGCCCTCTTCTCCTTGAAAATGATTCCCTAGACACTGACCGCCTTGTTTGTATGAGTGCATGAACACTCTGGGCTGCTGTAGGAAGCAAGAGGAGGGGCTGGGGGAAGGAAATATTCAGGGGCTTGCTTGGCTACCAAACAATTTCCATGTCAGATGCTGACATTACTGCCTTTTAGCTGTGAAGCACAGGGCAAGGACTGTGACCTGCCAGGTAGGGCTGGAAAGGAGCAAACAGCTGTGGCTAAAAAGGGGGGAGAAAAGCAGGAAGAGTGGCCTGGCTGTCTTTGACCAGGTTGAGTGTCAGCTCCGGAGAGTCTGAACATGCTCTGTGCTTGCCCCAGTTCTGCTTTCACGTGGGATCCAGCGACCCAATTTCCCTTTGTTGTCGTGCTTGGATGATTCCTCCATCTAAAGGGCCCCAGGAAGCTGGAGAGCCCCATGATCAAGCGCCAGCCTGCTGAGTAAACAATATGCTGGCCAAACTGGCCTCGGCCTGAGTTTCTGTATCCCTACACCTCCTTCCCAAGTAAGGGCAATCTCAGAACAGTCAGGATTCGTGGTGCCAGCAATCAAGAAGGATTCTCTAGTTCTCATCAGGAATACAGCTGTAAAGCTCATGAGTGCAGGATGCTATTTCCTTTTCTAGACCTGTGTGCTTATGTACTTCTATAGGCTGTCTCTGGAGATTTGATATGTTACACACACACATATATATATAAAATGTGGAAGTGACCGCTCATGTAGTCTCATGCAGCACAGATTCTAATTAGGGTTTGCACTGGCTTCCTTGCGGCTCGTGCATGACTCCATAGCTGCCCTCCCATGTCCTATCTCTAATAATTGCTGAAAACTCAAAGAGGAGAGGCAGATAAATAAGCCTCCCTGGGATCAATAGGAAAAGGAACTCCAAAGCAAATGGTAAAGCTTCATACGGATGATGCCGAAAGGGAACTGAGGTCTCCATGGTGATAAGAGTCTGGGGACCAATGGGAGCTGAAGGCGGAGCAGGACTTGTGGGGAAGACTCAGGGGAGTTGGGAGTTATTAACTATTTTTTTGCTTCATGAAAATTTAGACACCAGCTGTAACTGCATTGCACAGGATGTGTAGATATTATTACCAGTCTTGCTGACATATTCTGGAAGCTTTCAGCCCCACCAACACTGCCCCATCCAGGACTTCTGCAGCTGAGAGTTCCTGGGTCAGTAGGGTCTGATATTTGTACATAGGTTATACATATATGTGGATATACATTCCTTAATGAGTATCACTTGTCTACCTGATCATGGTGTACATAGACTTCACAGAGCTCCACAGTCTTTTGTAAATATCAACACAAGTAAATAAGTATATAAATTATCTATTACCAAGGATTTATTTTAACATCATTCTGTGTGAAATAAAAAAATAAAATAAAATTTTTGGCAGATACTGATTGTCTCCACCTTCTTTCTTGTTTGACTGAGTTAGTGGCCCAATAATAGGCACATATGCTTGTCTCCCCCTCCCTCTAGTTTCTACAGCTATTAGGGCCCAGCCAGAGGCCAGGCCAGTGCAGGCAAGGGCTCTCCTGGACCCATCAGAGGCCATCTTGGCCACGTGCCCGCCTGCCCTTGCCTGAGAGCTCAGTGAGCCCGAAGCAGAGAATGTAGACAGTAAGGGGTGGGGGTGGGCTTCACATTGTATCAGTGTTCCCTGGGTCTGCTGTGGAGCAGGGACTGAGGTGCAAGGGACTGGGTGGTAAAGGGGCAAGAACGATTTGAGACAATGGCTGCTGCAGTTGCTCTGCACAGTGGCGTTCCCACTAGCATGGCATGGGGACTGTGACTTGCCCAAAAGAGCTCTAGCCTTCTGCAGAACAAATCCCAGCAGATAGATGAGGACAGGCTCCTTGCCCCAAAGAAATGGGACACTGAACCAGGCTCCCAAAGCCAGGACCCTCCTGCTGGTTTCTCCTGTGGGACAGGAACTCCTGCCTCCAAAGAGCTGGGGAAGGGAGCTGGGAGTTTTGTCTGTACCTGACTGTTTAAATTTTGTTAGGTTGTTGCAGGAAATGTGGGAACTACAAACAGGGAGTCAGGACACTGAGACGTTTGGCGAGAAGCAGTTTATTAGTGCCGGCACTGGCTCAGTGGATTCATATCCAGAGGCTGAGCCCCGAGCACAGCAGCTCCGTGCCTTTTATACATTCACTACATGAGAAAAGGAGAGTCAGCCCCCAGGGATGTTGCAGTGGGAGCTGTTAGTGTACTAAGGTTCAGCCAGAATGCTAGTTATGTTTTAACCCATCTCAATAAAGGTTACCCGGATACCCAGTTGTAAACTAATGGGCCTACATGACCATGATCAACAAGTTGTTCCATATCACTGGGTCCTGGTGGGGGTACATTGTTACATTGCTTCAAACTCAAGCACCCTGGTATTCCTCTACTTTCCTAAAGCCTTAAAGAAACATTGTCCCTTTTCTTGGCTTGACTTCGCACCACAAGGTAAATATAACAGGGGTAAAGTGAAAGGGAGTGGTAATGTGTGGAATCTACATCAAGTTCCCTGGTCTTTTCTCTACTTTGTGGTGGAGTGGCTCAGTCATTTCAAGTGCAGAGCACCCTGCCTGGCCTGGGGCACCTGTCCTGTGCAGCGCCACCCCAGAGGCTGGGACAGGAGCCCTTCCAGCCAGTGCTTCTGATGAAAAGAGGCACTCAATGGGGTGTGGCACCAGGTAGAGAGTCTACCTTGTCCTAGGGCCAGTGTGGTGGGCAGGAGGCACAAAGCTGGATTGGAACAATTGAGAAACAAAATTAACCCTGAAGAAAAACAAAAGCCCTGGAGCCAAGGGCTTGGGTTTGACCCCATCTCCATCACTCACCAGCAGCACACCCCTGGCCTACTATTTTACTCTCTTTGAGCTTCAGGTTCCTCATCCCTATGAAAGGAACTGTGAATCCCACCTTAACTTATGAAGATTAGATGAGTGAATGGAACACAGTGGGGACCCAAAAAAAAATAGTGAATGAATCCCATGCCTGAAAGATCCAAGTGGGCCAGGGTAGCCAGAAATCCGAGATGTAGAAGTTGAAGGATTTTCAACTTCTTCTGGTCCAATCTGAGCAAAGAGGTACAAGAATTGACTTCAGAGGTTCTAGAAAATTCCTCTGAAATTAAAAATGACATGTGGTATGGTCATTTTTCCATGGACAGTGTCTGCATCCATGGCTCCAAAAGTAAAAACTACTGGTCAAACTTAGACTCCTCACCTTCTCCCCAGTGTCAGGTGGGACAAGTGACAGTCCCAGAGTCACTGTCATTAATCAAAAAAATTCATTCCTTCAGAAGATATTTTTACACTTGGTACTTAGGCTACTCTGCTCTTGTGGTTCACTGCTCTTCCCACCAACAGTGAACTTAGTGGCTAACACGGAGGTATAGCCAACCTGCCCCCAGGACCTGTCTTTCCACAGATGGGGCCTCTGTGCAGCAGCTGTGCCAGGGCCTGAGGCCTTAGGATCCAGACCTGAGCTTTCTCCAGGCTTATTTAGCACAACAGGGGGGTAAGGACCACATATTGTGATGTGAAATTAGTGCTATTTAAATGATATTCATGCAGAGGAGACAACTGCATCTTAGACCCAAGGACTGGGCATTTCTGAATGTTAACTCTGATCATCCTCATTGGTTGCCTGAGGCCACGCCCTCCCTTAGTCAATAAACAACACACCCACCAATTATTGGCTTATCAAGAAAAGACCAAGGCTCTTTGGCCCTTTACCTATTCCACCCTGAACGTAGCCAGGGCTCCATGCTTAATGTTTTGCAGTGAAGTTAGGAGGAAATCTCCCATCTACAAGGTTTCCTGTACCAAGGAAAAACTTCCTCTCCCAAAGTCTGTTCTGATGGAAGATTTATACTCTCTTCAGCGATCATTTGGGGAGCCACCCATGTGAAGTAAGCCACAGCCATTCTGTTTCAATGGCCTGTGGTGCCATCTCTCTCCCAGCCTAAACCAGGCATCTTTAAGTGTCTTGTTCATCTCTGAATCTCCAGCATTTGACATAGTGCCAGGCACAATAAATATTCATTGAATGGATGAATATCTATATCACATAGTCACAATGGTGGCCAAGATATCCTTGTCACTGGGACAGCAAAGACATGGCCACGATCTAGGACACCCTTACTCCTGTACTTCCCTCTGGCCCTACAAGATACCTCTAATCTTCACTTCTGGTGTCAGACTGGCCTTAACCTACAGGTGGTCTGAGTCACCTGTGTCAAATGGTCCACAGTCAGGATGCCGAAACCTCCTAACACCCTGTCCTCAGCACATTCTCCCACTGGTCCCAGAGAAGTTGCCCTCCAAAGCTTACCCAATCCCTCAAGAGCTTTAGGGCCAAACCCTCCCCACATCCCAAGGGGCCTAGAGATCTAAAGGGTTTCTATAAGCTTCCAAAATTCTAAGGCTAGAGATATCTTGGTGCCTTAGAAAATGCTGGGCCTCAGAGTCGACATTGGGTTCCATTCGCGGCTCTACTGTATAGTAGAGTGTACTATCTATGTGATCTTTACAAAGAGCTTTGCATTTCTAAACCTGTTTTTCTGTCCAAATTTGAAGTTAAAATGCCTACCTAACAGGTCTGTCATAAGAGTAAAAAAAGGGTTATATATTATGTATCTCAATATATATTTAATACATTACATTTACATTATATATATATTTTATACAATTTATATTATATCTATATATTTTATACATGATACATAAATATATGTAAATTTCCCTTTATGTGTTGAGGGCTTACTTTGTGTCAGATGCTCTGCTAAGTGTCTGACATGCATTATGTCATGTAATTATACCAGCAGTCTTGTGAGGTGGATGTTATTATCTGTATCTTACAGATTAGGAAAATAAACCTCAGAGAGGTTACATAATTAGCCCAAAGTCACACAGCTAATAACTGGCAGAGACTTTGTGAGGCTAAAGCCCATACTTCTAATGAATACAACAATCAATAGATGTTAGTTCTACCACCACCACCATCTTCCCGCCTGTGGTTGAGGGCACATAGGTAAGTCTTAGAAAAAGACA